CTGGCCCTGACACTGCCAACTCTCTCTCCCCTCCAGCCCCTGCCTCTCTGCTTTTCTCCTTTGCTTCAGCCCCCAGTGCTTACTGCTCCCTGACAACATGTGACAGAGACACAGAACTCACCCTTTGTGTAAGGAAGCCCTGGGCTTTGTGACCTCTTCTTGCCCCAAAAGAGGACTCTTCAGCATCTGCTGATAGGGTAGTCCAGTCTGTGACCAGCAGGTGGCTCACACCAGCCACCTGTGTTGGCTGCAACCTCTTTGCAACTCCTGCCTCTGAGGCCAGTTCTGGGTGTCAGGGGTCAGCACAGAGCACCCTGCTGCTCTCAGTAGCACTGCTTTCCTGTGCACTTCTACTGCCATTCATTGCCATCTACTGCAGCACACAGTGAGCATAATGGATTGTGAAGGGCTGCTGGTCTGGCCCCTTCTCTTCATGTTTCAGGCCTGAAGACACCCTGTTACCCTGGTCAACATGAGTCCCATGTGAGCCCAGCAGTCACATGGTGGCATGGACCCTCAGTCTCCTTTCCCCCTCCCCTCCCAAATGCTTAGCTTGCCCTAACCCTACACTTTCTCTATAGGGCCTGGTGGAATTGGGCCAGGGGCTGGTGGAGTGCCAGGCAGAGTGCCAGGTGTAGTGCCTGGGGCTGGCGGGCTGCCAGGAGTGACACCTGGGGCTGGTGCAGTACCAGGCCTCGTGCCTGGTGGGGGAGTGCCAGACGGTGGCATTTTACCTGGAGTGGGTAAGTGTTCCAGGTCTTGCCTGCTCAGTTCTCTCTGCATGTGCACATAAAGTTTGTCCCACATGAGCAATGGTGGATGTGGAGAGAAAGGGTGTCCTGGAGCAGGGAGAAACAGAGCATCTCCTGAGGAAGAGCTAGCCATGGGAGCTCTGGGACCTTGGCATGGCCAGGACTGGCTTCCCCTATTATAGGCATAACTGACTCAGAGAAGGAAGGATGGGAAACTTCCTCATATGCCATCTTCACCCTGGAGCGAGGCAGGGAGATCTGGAGTGCAGGGCACTGTGTGGGCACCTGGCCCTAACTGCAGTATTCTTGCTGCCTTTCAGGGATTCCCCAGGTTGGGGTGCAACCAGGTGCCAAACTTCCCAAATATGGTACGTATCACTGCCTAGCACCTACCTCCCCCTCTCCCTTTGCTGTGGTCTGTCCTACTTATGATGGATGAGTGGAGTAGTGATCCCTGATTTTCAGCTCAGGCAGCCCCATTCCAGAGCCAGCCAGAATAATGTCTGTCCAGCATACAGTGTCTTCAGCCCAGTCACCTCCACATACCCTGCAAGTTGTTTTTCCAGAAGGATAGAGCAACTCCTAGTTGTGCTAGCTTTGAGACTCTGCCACTTGCCTGAACTGTACCTCTCTGTCCTGGGGACCTAGAGGATCTAAGGTGTAAGCTGCCTTCAGATTCCATCAGCTTCAGACTTCTGGTTCTGTCCTCTCACAAGGGCCTGGGGCAGATGGAACTGGCAGCTTCATTGCATCAAAGCAACAATGCCACCAGCTTGGAGGCAGGGGAGGTGGGCCTGGAGGAGACATGGGCTTACTCTGTAGCCAGCACCCTGGCCCAGACCACCCAGCCTTCCCTTGTTGTTTCCCTCTTTTGAAAGTAAACAGAGCCCTAATGCTCCTGTACTGCTCCAGACAGGACTAGCTGAATGGCTTTGCAGAGCTGGCTGGTTGCATCATAGCTGGTGACACTGTCCTCTCATAGCTTTTTGGTGCCACCCAGTGCCGATTTCGTTTTCCTTTTAACAGCATTTTTCAACTGCCTTCTGCACACTACATTTTAAAATATTCCAGTGTTTCTTCTTCAGAATATAGATCCTCTGTGTGTGTGTGCATGCACATACACATGCATGAGTTCATATAGGTATGAGTATGCATGCACATGGGTCATAAGTGTGTGCGCATGTGTGAACATGTATGTGTCTATATGTGCTGGGGGTCCCACCTGAGTGCATGTGCATGTGCATGTACAGCCCACTACAAAAGTCTTTTTTGGTTACAGTCTTGTCAAACGGATTCAATATGTTTGACTCTTTCTCGTAAGTCAGGGGCAAGATCCTAAGGAGAGTGTACTATCAATAATGCAGAGCTGTTGAGCCAAGCCATGATACTAGGTGCAGCGCCTCTGACCCAGGAAATACCTCTCCTGATGCCTTCCTGGGGAACATGACTGGCATAACCATTTGTTTTCTGACTAACAGGTGTCCCTGTGGCAGGAAGTGTGGGTCCTGGTGGCCCCCTAGGCAAGCAACTGTTTGTGGTGTTGTGTCCCCTGGGCCACTTAGTTTTGAGACTTGCCTCTGCCCAAACAGGGTATGTGTGGGGGGCAGAGAGAGGCATCACTCCAGGACCTATCACATGCCCCCCCTGAGTGCAGTGCCTTGCCTAGGCCAAGATATGTTAGGAAGGCTGAGGATTACAGTGCCACAAAGTGGAATGCTGGCACAGCAGGAAGGAGCTGGTATACCAGTGTCAGGCCTGAACAAGGCACAGAACTGGCCCTGGACTATCTGCTAAGGTCTCAGGCTCTCTGTCCTGAGCACCCCCCATGGACAGCTCTGGGAATCAGCTGGCAGTGCATGTCCTCAGCAAGGGCAGACAGCCATCTTATCCCTCTACATCTTTTCTCCCTGGGTGCAGCAGTAGATGTGGGACCTGGGGAGTGAAGGCAGGAGGGGCTGTCAAGACAGAACTGGGTACTGTGGGGGCTGATCTGTACCAGGCCTGGCTTCTCCTAGAGCAGCAAGTCCTGCTGTGGTGTGTCTTAGGCAACCAGTCTTTCCTCTGGCATGGGATCCACTCTTATGGAAGTGTACCAAGCAGAACCCTGCTGCACCCCCTGGAGGCCAGGCCCTGCCCCAGTCATGGCCCGAGCACTAGCAACCCCTGCCCCTTCCCACTTGATAGCACCTTTCCTGCTCAGCCATCTGCAAGCCAGAAACTCTTACCATCTTATATTCTCTCATCCCCAGGTGGCCTTGGCGCTGCTGGCCTTGGCGCTGCTGGCCTTGGTGCTGGCGGCCTTGGTGTTGGTGGCCTTGGTGCTGGTGAGTGACATTTGTCAGTACTGATCTGATGCCAATAGTGCCCTGGGGCAGGGAGTGGGACAGGGCAAGGCAGGGCAGGCATGTGGAGGGCCAGCAGGGGGTGCTTCTGTGCCAAGCCACCCACCTCACTACACCCGACCACCTACCAGGCTCCAAGGGTCACCCTGGGGCACCTGGTGTCCAGCCAACTCCCTTCCTGGAGCACACCCACGAGCCTGGGGTCACCTCTGCCACCATTCAGAAGTCTCAGTCTGTCTGCAACCCTGTGGCCCCTGGGATACATAGGCCTTATAGACCTTAAGGGTGCTCAACCCACTGCAAGAACTTGGGGTGCATCCCTTGGCATGGAGCACAAATAGTGGTCTCCCTTAGTCAGCTGGGCCAAGGGGACATAAAGGCATGCCCCTCTCCCTCTTCCAACTAGTTCACCATGCTTAGAATAATGGAAAATTTTATTGGTTACAGGGAGTAGGTTTGGGGTATGGTATAGGATAGAGGTATCACAGAATAACCTTAGAGCAAACAGTGTGGCTAGGTAGCAATTGATTACGCAACTGCTGTACTGCGAGCTATATATACAGGGTCTTCATAAAGTCCTTGTGCACTTTCAAACCTCAATAACTTAGGTTGTAGGTATGATAGAAACAATCTGTAAACGGCATTTAAAAGCAAATTTATTAAAGCTTTAGGACAACTAGAGTACACAGTGCTAGACATCATAAATAGTAACGCCTTTATTCTTAAATAAGATGGAGCTCCGTGCCATAATGCTCTGAATGTATGACAGTTCCTAAATGACGTTTTCCCAGAGAAGAGGATAGGCAGAGGTGGACCAATTGCTTGGCCACCTCGTTCACCTGACCTGTCACCGCTGGACTCCTTTGTATGGGGACATGTTAAAAAGTGTAGTTTACTTGTCAAAACCACGTCCTTTGGTGGAACTTAGGGCTAGGATCATCAATGCAATTAGTGCAGTAGCTCAACAGCAACTGGGAAACATTTTCAAGGAGTTGAAAGATCGGATTGAGCATTTTATCATGATGGATGGTGGTTATGTTGAAGTCTAGCATTGTGTACTCTAGTTGTCCTAAAACTTTAATAAATTTGCTTTTAAATGCTGTTTACAGATTGTTTCTATCATACCTACAACCTAAGTTATTAAAATTTAAAAGTGCACTAAAAGGACTTTATGTATAGATAGATCTAAAGTAGCTTAGTCACAAGTATCATCCAGAGGCTGGTTGCTTTCCTTTGGAGGCAGACAGTTTTTTGTGTCCAGTTTCAGGAAAGAGAGGGAGAGGGCTGCAGCGCTCAGCTACTCTTCCTCTCCCCACAGGAGCCTTAGGGCTCCAGCATGGAAGCTGTCTCCCTGCTTTCCAGCATGGCTCTCTCCAGCATGGTTCTGCCAAAAATGGCTCTCCTCTCTGAAGCCTAGAAGAGTCCCAACCTGGACACTCCTTTCATGCTTTTCAGAAAGATGGCTTTGCCCCTTCCAGGCAGAAGGGACCCTATATATCCCTGTTGTGACCTCATCGCTAAGTTCCCACCAGAAGCAGCCCCATTGGCTGATGCCTGGTGCTTTTAAGTGACCTCACCTTCCAGGTGAGGAAGTTAGTCATATGACTTGCAGGGAGGGTCGGGAGGACTTGAGACAAAGGGAGCATCTAGCTCAGGTTACCTGGGCAAAGCTAGTTGCTTAGCAATTGGAGTGATAGACATGTCAGAAAGCAATAGTAAGGAAAAATCTATTAGAAGGGTCTGGGGAAATGGTGGGAGGGCGTTCTGCCACAAGGCCTGTCAGGAGTGACACAGGGGCCTATCATTTACTCACCTCTCCTCCCTTCCTCACTCT